GCGAGAACACTGTTAAAACAATATAAAACAAAACAAACCCAACACGAGGTTGACTCTACATTTCCTAAGAATATTACACTTCCAGAGGAGGCGGGGGATTGAGTGTAAACGATGGGGAACAAACACCCTCACAAAAAAAATTCTGACTACATTCTTTGCTCGGAGTGAGAACCAATAAATCCATCCTTGCCCAAACACCATCCACCCAACAAGACTATTCCTATTCTCATCCTGTCACTTCTTCAGAGAAACATCATACTTTTGATGAAGAATCGTCCTCAACAAAACTTGCTTTGAAGCCTTAGCAACATTTTCCTCATGTTTCTTATGGAGTCAACCTTTAGGTGGTACTGAGCAAAGAAGAGAGTCTAAGCTAAGAACCACATCGAGGCGTGAAATTTTCCACATGCCCCACGTCAGGGGTGGAAAGAGGACAAACTCCTGTTGCCGCTCATTTGTGGTTGCAGGGAGTTAACTGATTCCTTAGTGACTTGAGCCAGGGATTTGGCTTTCAAAAGCATAATTTTAAATCTCCACAGGAGGGAACTTCTAACTCTTTGTGACTCCGTGACCAGATTCACTTAAGAATTATTCAGCAGTCTGAATTAATAATTCAGTTTAGTTGGTAAATGTGGACTAATCAGTTCTAATGATTCCAAACTCTCAATAGATGGTTTAAATGTCTCACTTACCCACGAAGCCCATATGCCACACTTGCTAGGCAACTGAATGGAAAACCAGCCTCTATTCCAGAAGGAGTCAAATAAACACTCTAGTCAAGTTCTAGATCAGAGGTCCTAGAATCCCAGGAATGGAAGGGTTATTCATTGATCCTGTTCTCAGGAAGAACACTATTAATCCCATGCCAGGGAAATATAAATCTATCCCAGATGACACCTCCATATTAAACTATTTAGAGAAACTGGATAATATGGCATCCATTGCTAACCATTTTAATTAATACTAAAGAGAAAAACCATGCCCCCACAAAACGTCTCTCACACATTCTAAAGATGGAATCCTGAGCTGGAAAGAACCATGAATCTGACTCAAGCATGTCACCTTTCACAATAACAACAACAGCTAAATTTTACTGAGACTCTACTAGGTGTCAGGCAATTACCTCATTTAATCAACAACCCAGAGTAGTTCTATTACTATAATTCCATTTTACAGCTGAGGAAACTGAGGCAGGAGAGTTTGATTGACTTAATTAACCAAGAAGACATAGCTATTCAATGGTAGAGTTGTGATCTGAAACCAGGTAGTCTCACCCGTGATCCCAGGCTCTTAACTGCTATGCCACCTTGCCTCCTTAAGCCAACTTTCACACCTCTATTTCCAACCCTATCCACACCCCTCTTAGACGTAAATACTAAGAGAGCAAAGGCTACATCAAATTGCTCACCATGGATACATGAACTTTCATGGCACAGAATTACTGCACAACAATACTTTACTGAATTAATAGATAATTTCCAAACTCCGTAAAGCACCCACGTCCACAATCTTGATGTAAAATTTCAGGACCCTTGCTAAAATCATTAAGACCCACAGAGAGCACAGTGCATGTAAATACTGTTATTTGCCCATATTCATAGCCATTCCTTCAGCAATTTGGCAGGGCCCAACTCTCTAGCCTTTTTTAAGACTTGTGGAGAATATGTGAACATCTCTTTTCATCCCCTCTATAAGGAAATGGAACAGCTTTGAGTCTTTCACATCTGCCCCTTAGATACATGTAGAAAGGGTGGAAGCTGGCAGCCATAGTGAGCCCATTCACTATGGTCAGCATCCCAACATCATACCTTCAATCAGAAAGCGTTGGCTTTTCTCCTCTGCCATCTTTTCCATAGAGTACCTTCCCTGTGCCATGTGAACATGGACCACATAAGGGGGAAATGTATCCCACTGAAGCTTAGGACAAGTACATGATATGGAACACATCTGCATTAAAAAGCAAGCAAGCAAGCAAGCAAGTAAATCTCAAAGGCCATCTGGAATCACAGCTCCTCATAAGGTTTCTGCTCACAATCTTTTTTTTTTTAATGAAAAGACTTTTGTCAAGTTTATAAAAAGGCAAACTCATTTATTGGGAAGCTAAGTTTACACATCAAGAGAAGATACTTTTGCCCACAGGGCAATTCTTACTTGCACTGGAAGGCCTAGCGAGCCTGGGAAGAGAGGTGTGTGTCATTGGTTCTGCTTCTTTTAGTTTCTTTTCTGTGTCTAGCGAGCGTGCTTTTAAAACCATCTCCTTTCCATGCCAAAGGCCATGTCATGCTGTATATAACTCACCGGGAATAAGGGAAGTGTGTAAATAGCAAGGCATTAAGCAGCTCAAGGGACTTGAAGATAGGTAATACAGAACACTTAGGCAATGTGCTCTGAGAAGAGGCTGCTGGAGGGGAAGTGTAATACTTGTCTTCAAGTGTATGAAGGATTATTATTGCTTTATAGATGCTGACTCCTCCGAGGCTTCCTTGCTCTACCATTTTCCAGGGCTACTGACATACACTTGCCAGAGCTTCATCCCCTCCAGGAGTGGATCAACCTCACCTGTCCCCCTCAGTACTCACCACCAAGCCCGTCAGTCAGGCTCCACTCTGTCCCACACCTGACGTTGATACCCATCTGCCCTCTGCTACCCCATCCCACATTTCCACAGGCTCCCTCCTCCCAGGCCCTGCTGCTGACCCACACAGAGCTCTCCCTGCCCCAGGTCTGAAGTTCTCTCCTACCAACTCCTAACAGTACTCACATTTTGAGCACCTACTGTGTGTCTGGCACTGTGCTGAATGTTCTGTTAAAGAGCACTAGCTTTGTTTTCCAGATGAAGATACCGATGCCCAAGAAGAATAAAGTTATTTCTCCAAGCTCATAAAGCTAGTAGGTGTGAAGTGGGATCCGAATACAGGTCAAAATATAAATCTGTGCACTAAATTCTTCCATTTACTATTTCTCTAAGTCTCAGTTTCCTTATTCATGAAGTGGGGCAAGTGTTGCTTATTCACCAGGGTTGTTTTTTTTTTTTTAAGGCATTATATAAAAAAGTGCCTGGGACATTCGAGGGCTCAATAAATATTTATTCCTTTTTTCTTCTGATTTTCTACATCAGTTTTGGTCCACCCACCTAGTTAGTACTTGTACCGTTCCTTTATCGATGTGGTCTTGATTTGCCCAGCAGACTGGTAAGCGAGTAGGACTATGTCCTTAGCAGTATTTCTCCCTATTCTCCCACAGAGCCTGTTAGAGTGTGAGGGAAATTAGCATGAAAATGCAGAAGAAAGAATTTGGAATTGTTTTCATTAAACATGATCCAGCCTATGAACACATATAAGGACCTGTATTAAAGAACAAGGAAGTAGTAGAATCCACTCAGGATAGCTTCATTGCCATGCATGGCAGAATGGATGATTTTTTAAAATTTCCATCCAGGCTTTGAGATTAAATAGCAGCGTGAAAAACAAACACACACAACAACAATTAAAAACAGGAACAGCTAATCATAGCTGCTCTTTTAGTCATATTTAATTATTATGTCTTAGAACATTTGAAAACCCATGTTTGTCTTGGTAACTTACAAAAGGTTTACAGGCATAGGGAAGCCACACAATATTAAACTTCAAGGTTTAGAACTCTAAGGTTTGAAAAACATCGCCTAACAAGGACATTATTTCAAAGAACACAGATGCCTTCTGTAAACAAACATTGACCCAAACAAGCAAGGCATCTTGCCTGACACAACAGCCCTCGCTGTCAAAGCAAGCTTTCTGACCATTTTTGATAAAGGATTGTGCCAACTTCTCTCTCCACTTGAACTCTTTTGCCTTTGTGAGATCTTATAATTATATTTACTTGAAAGAAGTAGTAGGAAGGTCCTGGAGAGATAAGAACTCTCCCTTTATTACTTTGTTCTGGAAAACAGAACAAAAATAGGTCAGTTCTTACGGAAATGATGGCTGCATATATAAATAATGTAAACACTCCTATCACTGTCCTGGGGAGGATATTTATCATGTAGACAGCTAGAGACACCCAGATCTGGCCAATGAACTGTTTCTGTTCTCAAACCCCCACATACAGCTCTCAGATTGTGAACTGTCAATTGGAAACTTGATTATCATCAGTTAAAAATAACCAGGGAACTCTGGCAATAATTTAACTTGTTTGACTTTCTTAAGCTAACAATTAACATTTTAGACTATTGTTGACAAAATATTTAACTTTCCCATGCCATTTGTGCAAACGACTTTTCTAATATTCCTTAGCCGCCCTGGTGGACACACCTTTCCCAAGCTGCTCTGGTCCGGGCAGTGGCCTGTAAAGGACATGCGCGCAAAGACCCTAAACACTTTCACAACATTGCACATTTTAACTAAGAGTCCCTGGGACCTTCAGGAACACTTAAGCACACTGATACTCAGCCTTATCTCGGCAGAGCTAAATTTGAAATACCAATCCCTCTATTTACAATAAAAGCTATTTCACCATTTAAAATAGACAGCTGAAAGCTCAAGTATACTTTTAATCCCTGGAAAAACTGGTATTATGATTCGTTGCTTGGTAGCTTATTATTAGCAATACTAGCAATAACGCCTTGCGTTTCTGCAGTGCTTTACTTTTCCCAACGCCTGGTCAGAAACACACATTCATTTGCTTCTCACAACAAGCTAGGACAGCAATACTGTTGTCTCTGTTTTACAGATGACTGCTAAGTAACTTGTCCTAGGTCACCCCGCTGGTTAGTGATCAAGCAGGCAAAGAATCAAGGAGGCAGACTCCTTGTCTGATCTGCTTTCTTTCCTCCACACTACATTAGAGAAAAGATAATCTCTAAAGCCAAAGATGACTTGGAACCACTTATCTACCCATCCTAGCAACACAGTCTACGCAACAGAAAAAAGAGCTTGTCTCAGGCAAAAGGGAAAGATTAATAACGAACTGCAGAAGCTCTAAACCTTACTGTTCCATGGACCAGCAATTATTCAGTTTCACAGTTCATTCAAAGATTCAAACATACTTCACCAGAAAATGATTTAGTGCCTAAAGCCTGCTCCAAGTGGTTAGAAATGCATATCTGCTCAAAGCCCTATAATCCAGGGCCTCTGAAAGGCCCTATTCCTGTAGTCTCTGCAGCAATGGGGCTTCCCCTGAACTTGTACTTGAGCTAAATGAAGAAATTGGCTGAGTAAGGGCAGCAGAATTAGGCTCGCAATGTGGAGAGCATTAGAACTGGCTTGGAGGTTATTCTTGCATTGTTCTTGAAACTTAGGCTATTGGGAAAAACTCAGACATTATATATTTCTTGCAGTACAACAGCCCTTAAGCCAACGCGATCCCACAGACCAGAAGTTCCCCTGCCATCCACGTTCAAATATTACTGACTCCATACTAGGCATTGTCCTAGCAACTCTGCAGCATACAGGGCTTTCATCTGAGGATGCAGTGCATATTTGATTTTAGATGATCAATATTCTCTCTCTCTCTCTGAAAGGACCTTTATGGCCACTTATGGCATACGGATTAACTATTAAAGTGCTACACTGAACACACCCAGACAGAAATAAATCTGGTTACGGACACAGCAATAAAATTAAGAAAGAATTCTGCCACTCATTCCGCACAAAGACCCCTTTAAATTAATAGTGTTTCTGAAAATAAGAGGACCTCGCGTGAAGTGGGACCTGCAGACCTAATGGGCTTGATGAATCACTCCCCAATGCCCAGGCCTCCCTTCAAACACAATGTTATCAGGTTAATACAGTACTTGCATCACCATCTCTGAGTACCATGCTGAGTAACAAAGCTCCAAATTTAGAAGCTAAAATGGAGAAGGGAATTTCCAATAACCAAAAGGGGGGTGGGGGACCAACCTGTGCAATGCCACACGTTTCCAGTAAAAAGCAACCATCAGAAATACACTGTTCTTTTTATTCCTCACATGGCCCCCCTCTCATTCATCACTGTGCTCGGAGAGGGGTCTCCTCCAAGGCAACGTTTTAGGAGGTGGCTGGCGGTTAGGAGGGAGAGATCAGACTCTCTCTTAGAGCACGAGTGGTACAACAGCCACCTCTGGCTTCGGCAGCAGTAAGCCTTCAGTCAGGAGAGGCAGGAGCCGGTCCTCTCACTTCCTCCCAGCATGGATATTGCGATGGTAAAGTTACAATGACCACTGAGGTTGGTTGGTTTCATTTTGCATCCCAAAGCTCACCCCCCCCAAAAGAGGCAGCCTCATTTTACTTCCACGTTGGAGAAAAGAAAAAATCAAAAGAATACGGCCATAAGCAGATATGCCACCTTCCTTGCAGAGGCTGGGATAGGACTGCCACTTCCAGTCTCCCAGGCACCCAGGACAAGACATCGGTCTTCTGCACTGAAAAAGCCTGGGCGCCTCGTCCCCTGTATCATCCCCAGAAACACTTACCAGGAGACTGCGAAGTACACAAAGCAGTATTATTGGGAGACTTGCAGACAGATTATAAATTTACTGGGGACAATCAAGGCATTTAGATACTTTTGGCTGCAGATGCCAGGGACACACACACACACACACACACACACACATACAAACGTCATTCTTCGCTCCATTCGAGTGACTTCCCCTGACCCCCACTCCCATTCACCTCAGCAGCTCCCTTTCACAAAACAAACTCCCACTGCTCTCCTAGGGAATTCCAGGGAGAGGTGGGGATGGAACAGGTGCTAGGGAAGGGAAATTAGGCCTTGACGCTCTAATAGGACCTCACAGGTTAACTGTGTTCACGGATGAGACAGCAAACACCGGGCAGTTTAACTGTTAGCAGTTAGTTTTCATCTGGAACTTGTGCCAGGAAGTTGCAGTTCTAGGCGACCCAAGCAAAATGTGTGTGTGGTGGGACAGAAGACCACTACCCTAGCTCCTAGAACTTCTGGAAACTTCATCACCCCACACCTGGGCTAGGGATCAGGGGGAGCCACAAAGAAGCATCCCATAGGCCGGGCCGGGCTGGGGCGGGGGTGTCCTCTCTCTAGAGCTCCTTTTCAAGTTCCTTTGGAAAAGGGAGTTCGACGCGCTGCCCTCCTCTTCTTTGGGCTTTTTGAGTTCTTTTAGACTCACATGGCCATTTCCCGTTGCTGACTTTCATTAGGGCTGGCTTGGGCAAACTGGAAACTGCGCTGTGAGCGGACACAGAACATCAGGGGCCCCACAGACCTCAGAAATGGAGGAAGCCTGCCAGGCTGCGGGGCAGGGCTCCACCTTCTACCCAGAGGCCACTGGCCCGGCAGCTCCGGGGGAAGCCGTGCAGGGCGGGCAGTCACCTGACCCGGACTGGCACGGAGAACCAATGATTCAAGGGATACTCCCTCTGGGACGGGGTGTGTCTGTGCCTCTGAGGAAGAACTCCCAGCCAGAAACTTCATCAGAACTTTCAGGTTTGATGTCCTGTCACCAGGAGTGGCTGAAGACAAGGTACTTCCTAGGATGATAGCGTGGAGACAGCCCCTTCGTGCCTGCCCACGGTCATGAACACTGCCAGCTGGCGCTACCTGACTGTGGGGCCTGGGAAAAGAAGCGAGGTGGGAGGGCGCAGTGGGGGCGTCCGTGGGAAATCAGGGAGCAAGCCTCTCAGAAACATTCCCTCACTGGTCTTGGGGATGTTTTCCCCACAGTTCGATTTTGACTGAGGGGACACTCATGGAACTTCTCTGTGTTAGAGATCGCCACTTATGGTCTCTTAACCCAAGAAGGGGCCACTTCAAAGGGGGAAGGGGAAAGGAGAAAAGAAGGAAAAGGCTTCGATGAAGGTCAGCTGGACTGAGAGATACCTTCAGGCTGAAGAACGGCTTGTTGGACCTAATCAGAGCTGGCTAGCCAAAACAGGAGGATCTGTGAGGACAGGGCCTTCCTCAGTGGCTCACTCAGATCTTGCCAGCCTACCCACCTCTTGACTCCAGAGGGCCTCTGGAAAACTCGGGCTTTCTACTGCCTAAGCGACACCCTACGAGTGTAGGAAAGCCCCATGAATGAGTACCAGCAGAACTCGATGAGTAAGAGTGTAAAACCGCACCAACTGCCTACCCAGTGGCCTTGGAGGTAGTCAGGTAACACCTTGGCCCTTTTCATTGCTGTCCACTCCACCTCAGGCCAAGGCAAGCTCTACCCTCACAAATGACCACCGGACCACAGCCAGAATCATGAGAAAACCAGGTGCCTTACCGCAATCAGGGCTGAGTTCCTCTGGTCCCCAGGGGTTGAAGCTTGTGATTGCGGCTCCCCGTCGATCCCACCACCGCCACCATTACTGCTACTGTTCAGCAGGTGCTGTTGGTGGTGATGGTGATAGTCTGGTGGGGGCGGTGGGGCGGCTGTCGCTGCGGCTTGAGAGGCTGTAGGAGGGGCAGCAGGGGGCGGTGGAGGGGCGGTAGTGGTGGCCACAGCAGTGGTGGCCTTGGTGTGCTTGCCAGCCTTCCTCGCCCCCTGGCCATGCTGTACCAGGCTCAGGAGCTGCAAGGTGCTCTCTCGTTCCCGGTCAGAGCTCTCAGCCCTACCACGTTCATAGCGTCCTTCACAGCTTAGGTGGTGCTGGCGGCAGACGGCGATCCGAGCCCGGAGGCGCTCCACGATAGCACTGTGCACTCTCGGGGTGACTGAGCCCCCTCCAAGGAGCCCCGCCCCAGGGGCCCCCCCTAGCCCTCCTGTGGGGGCCTGTGGGGGCGCTGTGTCCCCCATCTTACTGGACACAATGCTGCCTCTGGGATGGTGAGGTGGAAGGAGGCTACTGCTGGCTATTGCAGCCAAATCTGTTTTTGACAATGTGAGCTCAGTACTCAGGGCCACATGAATAGAGGTCTTCAGAGGTTGGGGGGAGCAGTGGAGAAGGTGTGGGGGAGGGGAGTTAGTAAAAACAGGGTGAGGAGACAGAACAGAAACCAATCGCAGAGGATTAGTTGGAAACAAACCCTTATCAACTTACTCTAATTGCATTTGACAGCTCTTGAGAAGTTGGACAGAGTTGATGGGGCTTTTTTTTTCCCCCACCACGCTGACGAGAGCCACTAGGTACTTTGTAAACACACGATCTGGAGGTTAGAGCAAGAATTCAGGGATTGTCAAGCCAGAGACAGAAACAGACAGCAAAGGGAATTGAGAGGGGTATTAATAGAGAGCTGGACTCCCCCTCACCTAGTTGTTTCAGAAAAAATTTTATGGGGATGTTTCTGCAGAGAAACACAGCTCTACCACGTCTATGTAACCTGCAGCCTTTACTTTTCCTTGGGTTAGAAAAAAAAAAGTGCTGTTTCAGAAAATTTTCGAAGTCAATGTTCAGAATGTACAAAAATCAAGAGAGGCTGTCTTTTGGCTTTTAATTTTTCCTCCCTTTCCTTTGGCTCCGGTGTTTTCTCCTCTTTGAGGTACTGTAGGATGTTGTCTTCTCCCAAACGAGGGAGATGGCTTTTCAATTGTTAACAATGTCAGTAATTGGACTTTTGGACCATGCTCTTTTCTTCAGTTAATCCAATCACCGGTAAAATCCTCATTCCCTCTAAGGTTTCCTAGCCTTAAATGAAAGCAGTCTGATCAAGTCGCTAGCCACTGAGAGAGATCCTTCAACACATTTTTTTCCTTCCCGCTTAGGCTTCCTCACCCCCGGCTCTATTCTAACAGTATCAAGAGAGAAAACTCTTCCGAGAGTAATTTACAAACGATGGTCAAACTTACAAACTTCCAGCCAATTGCACCGAGTCATGTCCAGCCACTTTTCTGTCCACTTTTGTACATTCCATCCCCGGCCAGTGGATCTGAGGGTCTGGACTCGCAATAAGCAATGTGGTTCTATCTCTTGTAGTGCTCCGCTTTATAGATGGGGGAAAAAAAAAAAAAGTAGCTTGTATTTTCCTTTCTGTTTCCCGTCTGTTGTTAGCCGCTTTGCTGACACTGGCTCCGCCGCCCGGAGTCACGGCGATACACAGGCTTTCATTGTGCTCCGACAGGAGACGGAGAGAAAGAGAGAGAGAGTGAGACAGAGAGGGAGAAAGAGAGAGCCAGCAAGCTGCAGATGGGGGCGGGGGGAGGGGGTGGGCAGGAGAGCTGATCCGCGGCTCCCTGGTGGAAGGCTGGTGCCACTGCACGAGTGAGTAATTGCAGCCAGGCCCCGAAGAAAGGGGAACGCAGAGGGCCTCCCAGTGGCCGAAGAGGTAAATCCCGAAGCCTGCGCGTCTCAGTGGGGCTCACTTAACCTCCCTTGGCTAAGTGGGGAAGGCTGGGGAAATTCCCCAGCCTCTACACAACTACTTCACCAGCTCTGAATGTTTAAGAAATTCCCGGCCAGGGAATGTATTTTCCCTTTCAGACCTACATTACGCCCCCCTGAGGATATCGTTTTCATTTTTCAATATGTTGTAAATGACACCACTGAGCACCCTAGCCAGAGCTTGGGTGAGCACCGAGGAAATGTTCATTAGTATAATAAGGAAGACGGGTGAGTATGTGCGTGTTGGGAGGGGAAGGAGGGCGGGGTACAGAGGAAATCACATTGCTGGCGCCCAAAGGGCAGGTGAGTGTCTACCTGGCCTGTTTGGTGTGTCTTTGGGTAAGTCAGCCTGGGTGATTACAAGCAAATCAGTAGGCATAAATACAAGATTTTATGACGATGAAATCACCAGTACCAGTTCTAGAGAGGAAAATAAAGGTTTTTCTTTGAAAACACAAGATTACCTGTGACAAACAACTGCAAGATCTGAGGTCTCCATGGAGCTCTGGTTTACATATTTAAGGAGGAAAATCAGTATGTAACAGTCGAGTTTCAAGAAGTTTGATAACACAAACCAAATACATCAGTTACACACCCTTGTCCCCTCATCTTCATGTGATCCTGCCTTTAAGATCTCAAACTGTAGATTGGACTCTGCTTGCCATTATCAATTATGGAGAATAAATGCAGATGAGCACCATATTGGGATAGTCAGGACTAGAAATATGCTGAGTGTCCTAACTTGGAAGTCATTTGGATTTGAGGTCTCAAGCAGTGGGACTTCATTAAACCAACTCTCCCATCTCAGTAACATGGTCCTTCTCCAAACTGACCTATGGATAGAAATGAATGGGTAAAGTCAATGCAAACATTTGTAAGACTGGACTTATTTACAGTTTAGTTCCCAATAGGCTGGCCTGCTTTAGTCCATTTTATTTTAACAAGTTCTGGAGTATTTGTTTGGAACTGGGGACAAGTATACTCTGATGGAATGTAACTTTTTTACTTTTCATTGGAACTTCTGTCCTTTCCAAGGCTAAGTTCCTCACTACTCATGTGGGGAAAGGCAGAAATATATTGTTAGGTATGTAAATTTGATGGAGAACTCTATCATTAAAAATCGAAGGAGTTTTGATCATTTTATATTTGATTTTTTAAAAAGTTGTATTCATTAGACATTATCTTCCATTACTCTGAGTACTTTATATTCAGCAATCGTACTTGATAAAAGAAAATGTAATATTTAAATTTAAAACTGTTCACTCGACAGTCATGTCATAGCACTGGTTTTCATTAGTAACTCAGAATCCTTACTCAAATCTGCTATTCCTTTCTGATATAAACTTTGATTTCCATGCTAGACAGGGACATACCTTAAAAACTTGTCAAGCAGGAATGTAATAAGTTGTCATACTATATTCAGTGGTGTAAGTCACTTTTTTAGTGTCTTTTGTATACATTTGTCCTTGACAGCCATTTAATTTCAAGCTGAAATCATTATCATCTACATCCTCATTTCCACTCACATCAGCTACTGTTTATTTAATCACTGTTTCAGGCACAGCACTTCACATAGATCTCCCTCAATCCACAGTCTTGAAAGATAAGTATTATTGACCTCATTTAGAAATGAGGAAACTGAGGCTCACAGAAATTAAGCTTCTTGTTCCAGTTCAAGTAACAGCTCAGGACTCCCCCTCAACACTGATGTCAAGTCTATGCTGTCTTAACCACTGGGCTTGCTGCCTCAGTAGAGCAAAGCTGCAATTTTACTCTAATCGGCTTGCTAGAGTCTAAGCCAGTCCTGTAATACCTCCAAGAAATGAGTAGTGAATAGAACTACCCATCTGAAGATGAGAGCAGACAAGTGAGAAAACATGGTCAATCCCATCCAACTGCCAATAAAATACACATTTATTTTTCCCTCGTTCCCCCCCCCCCGCCCTTTTTATGGTATTGTTCTCTAACCCTAAAGTTTCTGGGTAGCCATATGAATTCTTTTAAGCATTACTTTCCTTGTACTTGTCCATTTCTCTCATCATCTCTACTAACCATGGCTACCTAACACTAAAGCACCTAACACCACAGTAATAATGCCCAGATCTAAATAGTTCACAGACATGTGAGATTTTAAGTTTACAAAGTATTATTTATTGTTATATTGAATCAATGATACTGATGGTTATGATGATGACAAAATAATACAGTATGTCATAATACCCGTAAAGGTTAATTCAGTTTTTTCAACATTTCCATTTTCTTATGGACTACTTGCTTTTGGCCCCCCTAATCCATGCTCATTCTCATTTCCTAACAGCCTGTCTCTCTGCCATTCTTTTGGTGTTACCATATGCCTAAAAGCCTCTTGTATTCTTCAAACACCCACTGAAGAAGTTTGCTTGGTTGCAGTAACCTCAGACATCAGCAAAACTTTTACATTTCCTGATCAACAGTCAGAATGCTGTTCCAACCGGAAAGATGCTTCACGCCAACAAGGTGCCTGACCTAGGAACTGGGTCAGCTGCCATCATTAAGTCCCTCTAATCATTAGTGCCTTAATTTTTACAAATCAAATGCAGGGTATTTCAAACAATACATAAATTAATTTTAAAAACTCCAGGTGGAAGGAACTCTCGCTCTTCAGCATTCTCAAGCTTGTCTGTAGTGTCACGCACGAATGAGAAATGATGCTTCCAGGGGCATTAGAGATACTTTACAAATCATTTGTTTTCCTTTTCCATGGCCTTCCTTTTTACAAGTCATTCATGATCCTTCACGCTTCCAACTTGACTATTACTTTCCCTCCAATTCTGCCTTGCTTCTTTTTGGGCACTGTCACTTCATCTTCAACTTTCAACTATGGCTTCATTTTAGTTAAGGATTATTTCGATATGCCAGAAAAATAAGAATAGAGATATGTGACTGAAATTTCTATTTCACACTTTTCAAAAAGGTATGTACTTCTCACGTGAAACATCAGCCTCAGTATTCTCAGCACTATTGTGATCTTTTTCCACTTGTTTTGCTTATAATAAGAATAGGGATGATTTCAGAAAATTGATGAAAATACTAAGTAATCTCTACGTAAGGACTTAATAAAGTGTAGCTTTTTATGTGTGCACATACACTGAACTCCATGCATGAACCACATAATAACTGAAGCCAGGTTCAATGAACACTTGAGGTGAGAAACAATTATCTAAAATTGCACCGTAAAATAGATCCTAATATGACACTACCTTTAAGAATTAAAGATACAGAATAGACAGGGTCCATTTGGTCACTATGAAACCATTTCACTTTATTATATTTTGGGAAAATTTAGATGTGCAAAGCAATGCAGATGCCAAAGTATTCTTTTAAACTATTTTTGGCTGAATTCATCTCTCTGAGGTCTTCAGATCCTAACATAAATCCATATATGGGAAAGGTTTTGGATAAAAATAAATAAAATACATCTTAATCATTAACATGTAGA